TAAAATTGTTTGGGGATTTTCTAATTTTTAAGCATAAGTGATTGGCTTTATTTTACAGATAATTGCACATGAACTTGCTAAAGTATGCATTTTTTCTTTTATTTCTCCCTCAGAATGTTATCACTTCTCATTGTGTGAAACAAATACGGTACACATTTCTAAAATTCTCTTGACATGAGCCTGCAAAAGACAGATAAAAACTTATCTTAAAATGGATTCAAATCTTAAAGATATTTATAATTAAAACATTTAAGTTCTGTCCAAGTTAATGCTATAATTTAAGTATATACTTAAATAAACTACATTGAGGTATATCATATGTTTTATATTTGGTTATACTTTGCTTAACAGAGCAAAGCTTTGCTTTTTAAAGATCAAAATTCTTTAATGAGTGATGAAAATCACATTAAAGAAAAATCTCAGAAATTTTAAATTGCTTGACAAAGAAGCATACCTAAAAATAATGTGCCTTTAAAAATATTCCTTTTAGCAAAAATAAAAGTAACTATTCTTATTTATCAGTTTTTTTTTTAATGAAAACTTGCTTTGACCTTTATCAAAGGATGTACAAGCTTCCCTGTGGCTCAGACGGTAAAGAATCTGCCTGCAGTGTGGGAAACCTGAGTTCGATTCCAGGGTGGGGAAGATCCCCTGGAGAAGGGGATCACTACCTACTCCAGTATTCTTGCCTGGAGAATTCCATGGACAGAGGAGCCTGGCAGGCTACAGTCCATGAGGTTGCAAAGAGTCAGACACGACTGAGTGACTAGCACTTTCACTTTTCTTTACATATCTAAAACATTTAAATGTAAAATAGTATAACTGGTTATTAAAGCTCCTTCATAAAATAAAATTAGAATTATTTTTGTTGAAACTGTAATGGTTTCACAAGTTTGAATATTTGAAGTGACTCATAAGACTCCACAGAGCATACTCACATAAGCTTCTATTTAAAGGCTAAGGATATTGTGCAACAATAAGTAAGAGAGCACAGGGGAAGCTTAGGAGGCCCAAGTGACATCCAGGCCCAAATGCTGTATGGTCTTTATGCACACAAAGCTTTGCTTTGTCTCCAGGTTGACCCACCAAGATGTGTACAGTGAATCTTGGCTTCAGGAAAGCTCAGAGAAGTTTTGGGTTTGTTTTGTTTTTCCTTTGCCCCTCTGATCACATAGTCCAGTCCAGCTGCCTAACCAGTTACACCAGGTGAAAGCCATCGGTAAACAGATCATGTTTGAGGGTTACCAGAGGAGATTCATACTTTAAGCAGCACACCATAAATCCCACTTTCCACTTTTTGGCTCAAAAACAAGGCCAGACATTCAGGCATCTCTCAAGCTTTTGCAAACCAGCTATAAACTAATGCAATACCACACCATTCCTGACAACTCAAAATCTAAAAAGAGGCAAGATTATGATGATAGCTTACATTTGTATAAACTGCTAAAACTCCAGTACTTTGGCCACCAGATGCGAAGAACTGACTCATTGGAAAAGATCCTGATGCTGGGAAAGATTGAAGGCAGGAGAAGGGGATGACAGAGGATGAGATGGTTGGATGGTATCACGGACTCAATGAAAATGAATTTGAGCAAGCTCTGGGAGTTGGTGGTGATGGACAGGGAAGCTGGCATGCTGCAGTCCATGGGGTCACAAAGAGTCGGAAACAACTGAGCGACTGAACTGACAGTAAAGTTTATAAAGTAATTTAATATGCACTGCCTTATTTGAACTTTATGATATTTCTGTGAGTTATGCAGGAAAATTGTTTTTATCTCTTATTTTATGGCCTCAGTTCTGAACCTTAGAGAAGTTAAGTTGTTGGCCCAGTTCTCACAGTCTTCTGTGCTGATAGAGCCAAGTATAAAGGATAGATCTTATGACTCTAGTGCTAGAATATTTTTCAGAAGTTCATGTCAGAAGTAGATATAAAGAACTATCTATTTCTTTTCTGTCTTGTAGAACAGTGTAGGAATAAATAAGTATATATAAATTACTGTATATTTTCCTCAAAAAGCATAATAACTTTGTATGTTTTAGGGAATATAACTTAAGAGATTCTGTTTCAAATGAAAGACTGTGCTTCAAATAAGATACATTTTGAAGAATTGTTCACAAAATTATTCTTTTAGGATTTCCACACATGAATAAAAAATTGGACATTCAAGATCTGAGTAAAATATCAATGATACCTGTGACCCTTTGTCTCCTTTTGTGCTCTCTTTAATTCATTTATGATCCATTTGCTTGTCTACCACATGCCAGGTAGTGTGCTATCCATGAGGATTTGAAAACTAACAAAATATGACCCTTGCCTCTAATGATCTTACATTCCATATTTTTTCCCATAAACTCACAGTTCCACGAGAGGAGTATCTGTTAACAGTATGTAAAGTATTGTGAATTATGAGAGCTAACATTCTAGAGACTTTTGCCTAGAAGTTAGAGAAGACTTGAAATGAGGAGACTTTTGAGCTAAGTCTTGAAGGTTGTTAAGGAATTTATCAGTAAAAGCAAAAGAAGTCTACTCAGGTCAAATGTGAAAAAATAAACAAGATTGTCTTAAAGAAACATGGAGTTAGTAGTCTGTTATACTAGGAATATAAATCACATGAGGGGAACTAGCAAGAGATGAGACTCTCTGAGGCCAGATGGTGACTAACTTTATAAGCCATGCTGAGGAGTATTGATTATATGCCCAAAGAAGTAAGTAATCCAGAAATCATTATTATACAAGAATTTTTATCATCAGATAACTTTTTTTTTTTGGCAGGTAGGGTACATTAAAGAGGAGACCACAAATCAGGAGATCAGTTTGTAATCTATTGGGATAGTCCTGAGAAATAATGATGAGGCCAGTGATTGGGCCATGGAAGTAGAAATGGAATACACAGCTGAGATACCATTTAGAAGTAGAATCAGTAGGCAGATTAGATAGAAATCAGGAAACCATCTAGTACAGAGTCTTGGTTTTGGAAGATTATCTAATCCACCTCTCTGTTGTGGGACATGAGACTTCTCAGATACTCTTGTGGTCAAGTGAATTGAATTAAGCTACAACACTGATTCCTCACAGAATGGGGTTCCTGACTCACAGGTTCTCCATATTGTGCCTCATTCCCACTGTATCTCTAACACATTTTTTTTTTTCTTTAATGATGCTCTGACCTTCCATTCGTTTATACTTTACAGGGCACTTTAATGTACATTACCTATTTTGACCTGTTCAGCAATCTCATGGCATAAGTAGAATAAGCATTATTATCCCTCTTCTGAGAGCAAGAAAGCCAAATCAGAGTGGGTGCTATGCTTGTTCAGAGGTTACTTAATTTTATCATTACTATATAAAATGTTACTCCTGAAGTTTTTCTTTTTAAAATATATAGAATTTTATAACTGGTAGATTTGTGGATTGATTCATATAGTAGATGCAGTCCTGACATTGTCTCTTAGTTTATCTTTTGCATGCATTAGCATAAGGTGGTCTTGAAGTTTGTTTTTGTTTTGTCATTTGGTGAATCAGTTTGCATAGAAAAAATTTATTTTATGGCTAATAAAGTCAGATTTTTATAAATTCGGTTCATTTAAAACAAAGCTTATTCTTCAGTGCTTAATCTTATGAAACATTATTGGTACCATTTTTCGGTAACAGTATATCATAGAGCTGACTCATTGGAAAAGACCCGAATGCTGGAAAAAATTGGGAGCAGCAGAAGGGAATGACAGAAGATGAGATGGTTGGACAGCATTACTGACTCAATGGAGATGAGTTTGAGCAACCTCTGAGAGATAGTGATGGACAAGGAACCCTGGCATGCTGCAGTCCATGGGGTTGCAAAGAGTTGGACTCAACTTAGCAACTGAACAACAACAACAAATATCTTGGAGGACTTTTTAAATACCTATTTCATTACTTATTTTTGAATCCGTAGGCAAGTTGGCAAACCTCTGTCAACATACTGGCTTGACTTCAGTTTGATATAAAAATAGTACTTATTCACAGTTATTGTTAAGTGAGACAATATCCACAGAACATTTAAGGCAGATCCTGGAACCTAATAACTACCTGAAACATTTTAGATATTATTAGATTGTTATTTCCTGTTGTTTTATGCTAATTAATTATGTAATTATAGATATTGTTAAAGTCAAAAGTAATGAATTAAGATTTATTTGGAGTTTTGCATAAAATAATTTCTTTGGGTTCAATAGCACTGGTATGCTTTGTATTTATAATACATAAAATATAATTAAGAAATAAATATTGGCAGTTCCTACACTAAAATACCTTCCTTCCTAAAAATGTATGTTTTTCCCCATAATCCACATGTTCTGTATTTCCACTTAGTGTTTAATTTAAAAATCTTTTTTTTGTTTTGTTTTAGAAAGTCTTATTATTCTAAAATCTTTTTTTGTGGGGAGTCAAGAAGATATTAAAACTTAATACTGCTAAAGCATTCAGAAACTTGTCCTTTTTGTCCTTTGTAAAGAAAGTAATATTAAACTATCTCGAGACATATTTCAGTCCATTATGTTAAGAGGTTGTTATACTTCTAGTGTGTAAGGAATGATCAAGGTGTTGAAACTTGGGTTCATTTTCATAGAAAGGCCAATAAGCATTATTTCTCTAACTTTGTTCAGGAAATTATAGACATAGCTGTAGTCTACATAATGCACTGACATTCTTGTAATTTATCAAGATGATAAAGTTCTTCATAAAATCTGTTGAATTATTTGAGTATAAAATGTAATTTATCCAATTAAAGTATTAATGACTTCCACTTTGAACTCATCCTTTCAGCTCTATTTTTTCTTCACTCTCTTCCACATAGAGAGGTCTTTCAGTAGTAATAAAAGAATCTTTCAATATATAACTCTTAGATTTATTTTTAGATGTAATGTGGTTAGTACTGATTTTATCAAATTTAGGTTTCTTTTCTAATTTAAAAAATTTTTATCGTCTATGAAAACAGTATTTGTTAATTTACTTTGTATTTTAGGCAAGCCAAGTTAGATCTGAGAGTTGCAGCAGCAAAAATGGAAGAGTTAACTAAAGTGACTGAAGACCTTCAAGGACAGATGCAGAAGAGGGTATGTTCCTTTTTCTAAGACAACTTGGTATGATGCCTGTAGCTTTGTTTTCTGTGTATTTTATTGTCGATCTATTTTGAATTAGGTGTTAAAGAGGATTGCTGGAAAATGAATTAATCATTTTATTGTCCTCTGAATATGAAATTAGGAAGCTGAGTTATAACATTGGAAATAACTTTTTATTCCTATTCACTATACCTTAAGTTAATAAACATGATATCATAATCATCCCTTAACACATCGTTGCTGAAGTACATGTTAATGTTAAGATCCAGTTTGCGTTAACTGGTTAGATGTAGATGGAAAAGAGGTATTTAATACTACCTTATGTTTAATACTACATTTTGTGTTGTTTATTGGCATAAAAGAGTGGTTCTTTTTATGTGTAATAGAGTTTTACAGAGAGAAGATTTTAATAGAGAAGGTGTTATGGAGAGGTCAGGCTTTAGATGTAGATGAATCTAATAATTAAAACTTTAACTTACTAGCTAGTTACATGCTTACTAGCTATGTAACTTCTCTAAGCCTTATTTCCTAATATGTGAAAGTTGGTTATAGATTTCCATTAATGGTAGATTTGTGAAAAGCTTATGCAAACCTTCTCATAGATAATAGTTATAAAAATTGAGTTTTTTGAAACACTGCAATACTCCCAAAAACAGTCACCAAAAGAGATAAGAATCATGAGTTTTTAACTTTCTGGCCTCAGAGTTCTCCCTAATCCCTGCAGCTATGGCTTCAGCAAGCAAAAGCTTTATAGGCTCCTATAGTAGTGCTCGTGGAGAAGAAAATGGCAACCCACTCCAGTATTCTTGCCTGGAGAATCCCATGGACAGAGGAGCCTGGCAGGCTACAGTCCATGGGGTCACAAAGCGTTGGAAATGACTGAGTGACTAACACTATAACAGTGCTCAAGATCAAAGTGTAGGGCTAGAAAAGCAGTTGAAAGTAAAGAAGAAATACTGGCAGCAAGAGAAACACACACACACAAAATTGAGATTCAAATCCTTGATGTAAATGCTGACCAGATCTGTGGCTGATAGTCAGGCTGTGCATGTGGGAGGTGGGAGAGGCTCCCAGGAAACCCAGTGAAAAAGTAGGCAGAGGCCTGAGAAGAGGCATCTCCTCTTGGAAGATATAGCTATATGAAGCTAGATGTTTAGGTTTGCTGCTTTTTATAACTGAGTACACTCCCAATGTGTGTGCAGCTTCAGCAGCTGAATGCTGAAACACTAATATTTGAAGTATCAGTGGACAGAGCCCAAAGCCGGCAGAGCAGCTGGAAATTACCAGGAAATCTGTAAGTGCAGTGAATCCACAAAGAGGATGAGCCCTGCCTCTGCCCAAAAATTGATTTATCCTCAAATTATGCAGGCACAGCTAGTTCCCAGGGAGCCTAGCTAGAAAAGCAACAGAGGCAAAGAAAAAAATGAAATAACAGATGGCCGCGGCTATACACTGTAGGGGAAACACCCCAGAGTGTGAATCTAGGTAAGGTAATTGCCTAAGCTGAGCAATAGTTAATAATCCTCGAAAGAACAAAATAGAATCTAGAGAAACTGTGATGCATTATCTTTATTATCCAGTTCTCAATCAAAACATACTAGAAACTAAAGTATAATTGGTAGAGGGAGAGGGAAGAAGTAGTTGATAGAAACTTCTCACTTTTCACTGAGTTTGGGTTTGTCTTTTGGATTTAACAAGCAAAGTCTTCAAATAAACTGTTATAATATGTTCAAATAGTTAAAGAAAATATTTTTAAATTAGAGTAAAGTAAGATTTCAGTGGAAAAAAAGATAAAGAATTTTTAATTGAGAACTAGAAAATAATTTTAAAAATAGAAATTCTAGATTTTAAAAGTACAGCAACCCAAATAAAGATTTTATTAGATGGGCTCAAAATTGATGCTTTCGAACTGTGGTGCTGGAGAAAACTCTTGAGAATCCCTTGGACAGCAATGAGATCAAACCAGTCAATCCTGAATGTTCATTAGAAGGACTGATGCTGAAGCTGAAGCTCCAATACTTTGGCTATCTGACTCGAAGAGCCAACTCATTGGAAAAGATCCTGATTAGGGAAAGATTAAGTGCAAGAGTAGAAGAGGATGAAAGAGGATGAAATGGTTGGATGGCATCATCGACTCAGTGGACATGAGTTTGAGCAAACTCCAGGAGAGAGTAAAAAACAGGGAACCCTGGCGTGCTGCAGTCCATGGGGTCACAGAGTCAGACACAACTGAGCGACCAAAGAACAACAATAAAAATTAATTAGAACAAGCAGAAGAAATAATCAATGAATTTTAAGATAGATGAGTAGAAATGTTCCTGTTCAAAGAATAGAGTTTAAAAGATGGAAGAAAAATGAATAGGACCTCAGGTCTGTGGGACATAAAGTAAGCCAAGAGAAGTATAATTGGAGTTGCCGAAGTAGGGGGCAGAAAAGATGTTTAAAGAAGTATCTGAAAACTTCCAAAATTTGGTAGAAATATTAGCAGATTCAAGAATCTCAATGAACCCTTAGTAAGATAAACACTAAGAAAATCACTTTAAACACATCAGGACAAAACTGATAGCCAGTTATAAAGAGAAAACTCGAAAGCAGCAACAGAAAAACGAACAAGAGATAGGCAGACCTGTCATCAAGAAACTGTGAAAGCAGAAAACACTGAAGCAGTACACTTGAAGTACTGAAGGAAAAAAGTGCTTATTAAGAATTCTGTGTCCAGTAGAACTGTACTTCAAAGTTGAGGGCAAAATAAAGCCAATAGAAGAACACACCAAAAGATAGGAAAGGATGAACAGGAAATTTTTATAAAGATGGTTACAAATAAAACCTATTAATTTTAATGCATCACTATTTCAGGAATCTCTGTTTATGATTATAATGGAATGCAGCATAACTTGGTTAAGAGAACATACTCTAAAGGCAGATTATCTGCATGCAAATCACTGTCTTGTTTTGTTAGACTTGCACTATAGAGAAATAGTTGGAATAGTGGTAAAAATCCATATACAATTTCTGATTCGATTATTGTTTTACCTATACAGAATTGATAGTTAGGTTCTCATCCCTGATAGCTCAGCTGGTAAAGAATCAGCCTACAATACGGGCGTCCTGGGTTCGATTTCTGGGTTGGGAAGATCCTCTGGAGAAGGGAACAGCTACCCACTCCAGGATTCTGGCCTGGATAATTCCATGGACTACAGTCCGTGGCTTACAAAGAGTCGGACACTACCGAGCGACTTTCACTTTCACTTTCTTTTTCTCTTCCCCTTTTTTAGTATATGCATGCTCTGTTCCCAAAGTAGTATTGCTTCGCTTTTGAACTGTGGTGTTGGAGAAGACTCTTGAAGTCCCTTGGACAGCAAGAAAATCAAACCAGTCAATCCTAAAGGCAGTCAGTCCTGAGTACTCATTGGAAGGACTGATGCTGAAGTTGAAACTCCAACACTTTGGCCACCTGATGTGAAGAACTGACTCATTGGAAAAGACCCTGATGCTGGGAAAGATTGAAGGCAGGAGAAGGGGACGACAGAGGACGAGGTGGTTGGATGGTATCACTGACTCAATGGACATGAGTTTGAGCATGCTCCAGAAGTTGGTGATGGACAGGGAAGCCTGGCATGCCGCAGCCCATGTGATTGCAAAGAGTCGGACATGACTGAGTGATTGAACTGACTGACTGGAACTTACATATGAAATTCTATCAATATAATAGCTTTAGAGTGTTTTCTTTATTCTGTTTAATGGTGTATTGAATTTTTACATACTAAACATAAACATTCAGTTTCTTTTCTTTTCTAGGAAGAGGATATGGTTTCTGCCCAAGGAAGAGAAGCAGCATCAGATAGGCGCTTACTGCAGTTACAATCTAGTGTAAAACAATTAGAAACAAGGTAAATTGTTAAATACATCTAGCTTTATCTACAAACTTTGAAAGTTATTCCATATTAAAGTTTGTTTATTATACTTGTTTTATAAGTGTTAAATTATAAATCATAGGTTTAAAATCTGGTTTGTTGGATATTGTTTGTTTAGAAAGTCATATTCAAAAGATTGAACATATATTTTGAACATATACTCAAAGATCATTTCTCTCTTTGCTTTTTCTCCAAAACAGTCAAATTTGGTTAATCCAAAAATTAAAAATGTTCCTTTTCACCTTAAAACAGGAAAAGAGATAGTGAAGTTGGGTAAAAATTATTTAGAAAAATTCATTCCTTGCTGAGCTGATATGTATCATGCTGATGCATGAGAAAAAATACTTGAGAAATCATTATTGATGTTTTTCCTGATGTCTTATGAAACAGTAATTTTCAGTTACCTTTGAAGGTCTGGGCTACTTTTTAGGATGCTTCCCAGGTGATGCAGTGGTAAAGATTCCACCTACAAAAAAAAAAAAGATTCCACCTACAAATGCAGGAGACACAAGAGACATGAGTTAGATCCCTGGGTCAGGAAGATCCCTTGGAGAAAGAAATGGCAGCCTAATCCAGAATTCTTGCCTGGAGAATCCAATGGATAGAGGAACCCAGAGGGCTACAGTCCATGACATTGCAAACAGTCAGACACAACTTAGCGACTGAGCATGCACACTACTTTTTAAATATATTTTGTAGCTTTGTCTTTAATTGCTATCTTAGTGCATACTGGTTGCATACTCCCTTAAGAAGCATTAAAATTGTCATTTGTGGCCTATTAAAGATACAGTGACTACAGCCCATAAAATCACATTATGTTTTATAGCTAAAAAATCCACTCTTTAGATTGGAATCTGTTATACTCAGAAATAGTCTACTGATCTAAGCACATCAAAAATTGAGATCTCAGTTCTAGTCATAGATCCATGGCTGATTGTGTTTGTTCAGAAAAAAATAGTGTTTTTGGACTTCTGTTTCTTATTCTCCAAAATGTTAGTGAAAGTAATTTTTTTGCTAACGGTGGGTTCAGAACTAAATGATTTTAACTGCTATCTTGAGATTCTGATGAAAGAAGTTGTTATTTTTAAGTGCTGGGGTTTTGGATTTTTTTTTTTTTTTCATTTTTCTAAACGTTTCAGTAGTTGGTCAAATATTTGACTATTTTCTTGAGCTTATTTTTTGTTAACCTGAGAGAAAAAATCTGTGGTTGTAGCTTTTCTTATTTGCTGTTTTAGTAGCATTCTGTGCTATGCACATAAATTCTGGAGACTTGAAATAGTGAAATCTGAATAAGTGAATTTCAGTTCCTTTCATTCTGATAGTATCCTTTCATTCTGATAGTACTTCATAAGGAATCAAATTGTTCATCAATGCTTTCCGTTGTGTTTCTAGTATTTAAGGCTTTGAGATTTTCAGGGTTTTTTGTTTGGCTTTTAGTATAAAGTTATAACTTAATTAAAGTTTCTGAAGAAGGGATTCCTGCATATGTAAGAAAATGTAAGGGTATTTTTTAAAGTTCAGCATTCAGCTAGTTGCCTTTGAAGAGGCAATTTGAAGAGGAAATTTTTACATTGACTGTCTTTTAGAACTATTAAATATTGTTTCTACTATGATAAAAATGTTTTATTTTAAAATTTAAAAACTCCTATTATTTTATATAAGACAAAGCAGAATTATTAGTGTAGTTGGCATGTGTCTAAAGTTCAGCCATTGTTTTAGATGTAAATATATCCTATTTAATGGAACTACCAGATTGAAAAGCTGTGTTTTTAATGGTCATCTTTGTTCTATAAAATTAAACACATATTACTTATTTATAAAATTATTATTTGTGATCCTTTCAAATGCCACAGATATCTAGGAAGCATAAATCATTTCCTACCATCTTCCAAAGAAAGCTCCACCCCACTATTTTTAGATAACTCATGGGGACTGGAATTATCTCTAGGGAATGACTGTTCTTTGGGAAAGACCACTAGTTTGTATCTGCTCTGCTGAATAAAATTGGAGGGAAATGAATAAAATTGCTTTAAACTACCTCTTCATATTTTTAAATTTGGTGTTTCTTTCAAAGAATATGCCAATAAGACTAAAATTTTGTTGCCTCCACCCCATTTTAATAGATGCCATTCCCCTCAACTTCCTGACTACACATGGAAGGTGTACTTAAAAACATTGTTTAGAAATGTCTTTATTTTACCTTTAAAGGTGTTACATAGTTTAAATAATGAATCCTATGTTCGAAATTCTAGTTTTTAAATAATTTTTTCCTTAAAAATTCCTTTCATTCAAAATTCCAAATTTTTTTATTTGACCTGTTTCCTCCTCCCCTGGAGACTTGCAGGGTCATCCACTCCACTGCCGCCACAATTAATATTCTAAAACTGCACAGTGTGTCTGTTTAGTAAGAATTCTTTTTCATTCATTTTACAGGGGACATTTCAATATAGAAATGATGTTCTTCAGTTTGGGGGAGTTTTTCAGGGATTTTTTTATTGTTGAATAATTTTATTCTTTTTTTATAATTTTTTCCTCAAAACATAGTATTAGCTGGCTATTGAATCTAATGGATTGATTCCCTAATTTTCATATTTTTTCTGTCCCATATTCCATTTGCTCATTTATTTTCTCCTTTCTTGGGCTTCCCTGGTGGCTCAGCTGGTAAAGAATCCCCCTGCAATGCGGGAGACCTGGGTTTGATCCCTGGGTTGGGAAGATCCCCTGAAGAAGGGAATGGCTACCCACTCCAGTATTCTGGCCAGGAAAATGCCGTGGACTGTATAGTCCGTGGGGTGACAATTGGAGGTTTCTTTAAATTTTCTTCTAGTTAACCATTTGTTTAATATTTTATTTAGCTATTAAAATTTTTTCAAAGAGCCATTTCTTACCCTTTGAATGTTTCTTTTTCTATAGTATCTTAGTATTGATAAATGTTACATTGTCTCTTTATTAAGTATTTTTAAATATTGTTTAAGATTTTATTCTGCCATCTGCATTGTCTCTGCTTTCTCAAACATTTGTTTTTTCTGTATGCCTGTCTGCCTTCAAGGGTTTGGTGATCCTTTCTATCCATTGATATCTAAAAGTGAGATACTGGAGTGCTTGCTTCATATACTAAAAACAGGAACATACAGAGAAAATTAGCATGGCCCATACACAAAACCATGAAACATATCTTATTTTTAAAAACCAAACTCATAGATACAAAGAATAGATTGGTGGTTGCCAGAGTCAAGGAGAAGGGGGTGGCAGAAATAGGTGAAGGTAATCAAAAGGTATGTACTTCCTATTTTAAAAAAAATTAGTCATGGGGATGTAATACACAGCATGGTGACTGTAGTTAATAATACTGTATTGTATATTTGAAAGTTGCTAAGAGAATAGATCTTAAAAGTTCTCATCAGAAGAAAAAAATATCAATTGTATACATGGTGATAGATATGAGTTTGACTTATTTTGGTTATTTCAAAATATATGCAGATACTGAAGTATTATGTTTTATACCTGAAATTAATATATAATTGTCCCTCAGTGTCCACTGGGTTTTGGATTCAGGACTCCTGTGGATACCAAAATCCATAGATGTTCAAATCTCTTATAAAATAGTTGCAGTGTTTGTATATAACCTATGCACATCCTCCTGTATACTCTAAATCATCTCTAGATTACCTACAAATACAATATAAATGCTATGTAAATAGTTGACAATGCATAATAAATTTAAGTTTTACTTTGGAGTTTTTTTGGATTTTTTAGAAGTATTTTTGATTTGTGATTGGTTAATCTGTGATGTGGAAAACACAGATATGGGGAGTTGACTGTAATGTTGTATGTCAGTTATATCTCAGTTATTTTTTCCAAAAAGTAAGACACCAGAAAGATAGGTAGGTAGGTATGTATAAGTGGTCTTGTAGTCTGGCAGTATTATGTTGAATTAGTGAGCTATCCTTGGACAGTCCTCAGATACCAGAACCTGACGGTGCTCTCTCTTGGCCTAGTTTCTCCAAAGTTTAAAGTAGGGTCCATCAGCCTTTTGATGTGGGCTGGGAATTGAAGCACACAAACCTGAGTGTGTCCTAAAACTAAAGAGTTGGGGACAGAGGGGAGTGATAATGTTCAGTATGCAAACTTTCATTTGGTACCCTGAATTTTGGTATTAACCAACTTAACTTGAAATGACAGCCTCTTGCTGTATAGTTATGGACCTGTGAGTTGAATCAGTATAATTTAAGTGGAAGTTTCTATTTGGCAGTATAGTGTAGTTTTTAGGGACACTGACTCTGGGCCCAAACTGACTGGATTCAAAGTCCAGCTTCATCAGTAACTAGATCAATAATGTTGGGCAGGTTGCTTACCCTCTTTGTACTTCAGTTTATCTATCTATAAAATAAATACAATGTTTTAACCTACCGCATTTAGTTTATATAGTATAAACTAAAGAGGGAACTTGACCCAGTTATAGTAAGCTGAAAGAAAAGATTCATGTAAGATTTGGCTGCAGAGTTTGTAGAAGAGCTGTATGAGAATAACAGCAATAGTAATGCATCTTTTATGTTATAAAATTATGGAAACCTTTAAATTCTGGAGCTGATGATCTGAACGTACTATCCTATAACTCCACTATAATCTAATATGATTTGGGCATCAAATAGACAAATAGATTACTAAATCATGACAATCCATAAGTAAGTCATATTTGCATATTTTAGGTATGATAAGGGATTATTTCAGTTCATCAGTTGCTAAAGGTACTCATACAGCTACCTCTCAATCTGGAAGAAAGTTAAATTGGACTCCTCTCTCATAGCACATTCAGAAGTAACTTCCAGATTAATTAAAGATTTACAGGTAAAAGTGTTAAGGCATAACTTTTTTTGAAGAAATCTAGGTGCTTACATTAACAGTCTCTTGATAAGGGAGATCATCTTTAAAAAAAACTGAAATCCCAGATGTTGAAAAAAAAAGTCAAATTTAGTTATATTAAAGTGAGTGTTTTTAGTGTAATAAAGATTTCTGAAATAGAGTCAATAGGTAACAATAAAAAACTAGATTTGGGAAAAAGTGTTTGCAGCATATAGAACGAACTGAAGGTTAAATATCTTAATATTCGAAAACTTCTTATAAAGGAATAAGCAAAGTAAGTAAGCCATCAGAAAAAAAAAATGGGCAAAGGATATGAAGAGGGAATTCAAACAAGACAATTCACTTAGCTAACAAACTTTAAAAATGCTTAAACTCTCCAGGAATTTGGGAGATACAAGTTAACAGTGAGGAGAAGTTACATCCATCAGACTAGGAAAGAAAAGAGCTTCTAGTTATATTGGTTGAGGAGATTTTTATAAGGCATTATTGAATATTAAAAAGCAACACAGAGAAGGGTGTATACTATGATGTTAGTTTTTATAACAGGAAAAATTATGTTTAAAAACCTATGGATAGATGTGTATATATTGTGTATGCATATTTATGTGCATGTGTGTATATAAAAATCATACATATGATTTTATGAACATGGAGAAAATATTAAAATAGATGCATTATTTTAACTTGGGTTACCTGGATAGAGCATAAGGAAAGGAGCCAAGGAAAAAGTTAAAAGAAAAATGGACTATATAAACAGAATAACTTATTCTTTAAGGATTTGCTTTATAACACTGTCATGTGACTGTCATAAGACAGTATGGATTAGTGTGAGTAGAAAAGTGTACAAAGTGTAATGCAATCAGAGTCAGAATATCTAGGATCGTCTAAGCCCCCATTATTCGTATGACCATAATTAAATGTTTAAGCTCCCTGGGTCTGTTTGTTATTCTTTTAAATGGAAATATTTGAAACCTATTTTATAGAATTTTACATGAATTAAATGAGAAAATACATGTGAACATAACTGGAATAATGCTTATCCTGTAATAGATGCTCTGAAAATCTCCTGTCTCCCTCTTCCTTTTTAAAAATTTTTAACTTTCTCAATGTGACTGTTAATTTTTAGATTATCTGTGGCAATTAATGAAGCCACCCAATTAAGAGCAGAACGAACACATCTGGAGAAACAGACCAGAGCATTACAAGCAAAGTGCAGTGAATTAGAAGCTGAGAAATACGAGGCAATTGTACGAGCCAGAAACAGCATGCAACTCCTAGAAGACGCTAACCTTCAAAGAAATAAGGTAAGAAAATTAGTAAACAAGTTTATTAAATAATAAGTATATAATAAATAGAGCAATGAAATGCTGAACATTCCTCCATGGGAATCAGTAACTACAGAAGTAACCCATGAAAATGAAATTGCTACACTCACTATTAGTAGACATACTGCTTCCTTATTGGTGTTTTTTTTTTTTTTTTAGTTGGAGGCTAATTACTTTACAACATTGCAGTGGTTTTTGTCATACATTGAAATGAATTAGCCATGGATTTACATGTATTCCCCATCCCGGTCCCCCCTCCCACCTCCCTCTCCACCC